CTGGCCTCCAGCTGGGACTCTGAGGAGCACAGGGACTGGTCTCCTGCTGGGACTGGCCTCCTACTGGGACTCTGAGGAGCACAGGGACTGGCCTCCTGCTGGGACTCTGAGGAGCACAGGGACTGGTCTCCTGCTGGGACTGGTCTCCTGCTGGGACTGGCCTCCTGCTGGGACTGGCCTCCTGCTGGGACTGGCCTTCTACTGGGACTGGCCTCCTACTGGGACTGGCCTCCTACTGGGACTGGCCTCCTATAGGGACTGGCCTCCTACTGGGACTCTGAGGAGCACAGGGACTGGCCTCCTGCTGGGACTCTGAGGAGCACAGGGACTGGTCTCCTGCTGGGACTGGCCTCCTACTGGGACTCTGAGGAGCACAGGGACTGGCCTCCTGCTGGGACTCTGAGGAGCACAGGGACTGGTCTCCTGCTGGGACTGGTCTCCTGCTGGGACTGGCCTCCTGCTGGGACTGGCCTTCTACTGGGACTGGCCTCCTACTGGGACTGGCCTCCTACTGGGACTGGCCTCCTATAGGGACTGGCCTCCTACTGGGACTGGCCTCCTACTGGGACTGACCTCCTGATGGTCCCAGAGTCAGGACTAAACATGAGGAGGCAGCATATCATTTTCAGCTAAAGTCTGTCTTCCTGAAAACGTGAGACAGCCTTCTTCTACAACAATGTTTAAAACCAGGTTATAAACAGCCACATTTAGCTGTGCAGACAACTGAAGGATTTTATATTTATTCTTTTTAATGTACTTTACTAAACGAATCAAGAATAAAGTATAACATCTCTAACGTTACCGTAGTAATGGCCGGGGGGTGAGTGGCTCTGATTGCCACCTGCCCGACCCAGAAATGGAACAAATGGGGAAGAAAATGGACAAATGGGGAAGAAAATTGATATATGGGTGGATTTAGGAAAATTTAGTCTAAAATCTCCAACTTTAGCATCATAAATAAATCAATATATGTTTTTAAAAATATTAATCTCTAATGTGGTATAAAGGCAATTAAGAAAATACATGATTGTGGTCAAGGCAAACTATTCCAACTCTTCTGCTTCGAACAAAGCTAAAGCTAAAAACAAAATCGCAGAATTATCGCCGCTGACAAACGAGAAACAGATAAATCATACATGATACGCTCTAAACAAGGCCGTTAAAATGACATTAGGAGGACATCCAGGGCTGTGATAAGTCCAGTGCTGGTTGGAGGGTGAGAGGTGAGCCAGAGGAGGTGGGGGGCTCCTCCGCAGCATGGAGCGCTGGCAGTAAGTGCCTAATGAGGGGTGAAGAGAGGCCCCTGGGAGCCCCTACGGCACATTCATTAGGAGATGAAAAAGCTCCTCTCCTCCCTCAGACCGGACAGGGCTCGGGGCCAGCTGTGATGGCGCTCTGAAGCTCGGATGTCATCACAAGCACTTGGACATTCATCATATTGATCACAGGAGACGCTGGCTGATAAAACTATATTATATTAACCTGGTGTTGAGGACAGGAAGTGCTGAACGGACCCCAGAAGATGGTGCAGGAGTGAGACGGACGCAGCAGCGAGATCACACACTCGAGTTGATATAGATCAGGGGTCCCCAACCTTTTTCACCTGGAGAGCTACTATCTCGGGTCTAAAATAGCAGAAAGAGAGAGCTACTACACTGTAATTTTTGGGCCAATTTTGTTACAGCTTAAATGGTTTTATGAGCAGTAACGGTGAGAGCTTGGTACTACAGAGTAATTATGTATCATTCATTACTATGTTATTTTGCATTTACAATAGTTATGGGACAATGATTTTTTTTACTTTTCTGCATCCAGCATTTATGTAATTTCTAAGCCCTTTGAGGAGCTACTTGCAAGGGGGAGGTGAGCTACTGGTATCTCCCGAGCTGTAGGTTGGAAACCCCTGATATAGATGATGAACCAAGATGAAGAAAGACATAGAACAAACTTACATAATGATCCAAAAACGTGCAGGTCAGATCCCTATAGTTTTCTCCGACGCCAAACACTCGCTCATGTTTCAGGTCATTCCCCACTTTCATTACAGTTATATATAATTGAATAATGGGGAATGTAATCTTTATTTATATACCGCCTTTTCACTGCAGATCTGAGTCTCAAAGCGGTTTACAATTGTTAGTTTTGGGCATTTGTCTCTCACTCCACACAGAGATGGGAGCGGGGCCAGTACAGGAGGCGCATGCTAGAACTATTGTACATATTTTTAGTGGTAGGGGAAACCAGAGTACCCGGAGGAAACCTACGCAGACACGGGGAGAACATGCAAACTCCACTCAGAAAGGCCCTGGTCCGACCGGGATTCGAACCCAGGACCTTCTTGCTGAGAGGCGAGAGTGCTAACCACTCAGCCACCGTGCCGCCCGATGATGTGTGGCATCTCTGTGCTAATGTCTGCTGTGGACAGATTAATACGGGGCAAAAGCAGCATTTCAAAACTTTCATTTCCTTTTATTGCGTTGCGTTTTGTTGCATTTTTTTCCTCCAGGCAAAAATAATAGATTCATTTAGCCAGTGGAGCTTTCTGTGAGGGAACCAAGGATTATGGTAATGTGCCACTGAGCGCTTTAAGCAAAATACAGTGTGGGAGAAATTGCAGCAGTTCACATTTCAGAGGTGAGTTTTCCTGATGCATACAGATGTGAAGGCAACTCTCCAGGTGTGGCTCTCAAAGACAAAAGACTCATGTTGGTCCACTGTGGCTCTGGTCTTATCGCGCTGCTTATCCACGCCCTGATGAGGCCTCTTTATTAAAGCCGTCTGCGCGCCTTGTTATAGCAATCTCCTGTAATTAGCACCCGCTAACCTTCCGGGTGCTAATCCCCCATGAATTGTGGATTTGACATCAAAGCTCACTCTCTCCCATATACTCCCCGCTTGAAATTAGGTTTTATTTGAAACCTGCAATTATTTGTATGACATGGATGCTCCAGTCTCCGTCTTATGTCTCAGAAAATCCTGTGGCTTTACCGAAAGAATATCCACTTCCATGGATTCCAAATATAGAGTTTTTATGCGTGATGCACGGCCAGGAGCCTGCTGCGTGCTCAAAGTTCAACAAAATGTGTTTTCTCTGCCTCTTTACACCTCTCTGTGTTGTAGAGCCTCCCACAGAGTCAGGGGCGTAACTCAGGGAATAACTTTTCCAGCTCCATTGTATAGCAAGTGATAAATATGAGCCAAATTAATACACAAATATTACATTCAACTCAAAGTCAGTTTACAGCAGCAGCAACACAAAGTGGGTCTAAAACAAAGGAAAGTGTCAAAGAAGAATCCGAAACAAGTACACATTATGACTTATTATTGCTAAATTAATATGGCACTAATCAATGAAGGGCATCAGAGAAACAGAACTCCCAAACAAAAAGGTCTGAGAAAGGAATGAATAGGGAACAAAGGGTTAAACAAAATCAATTTTAGTTTACTACATTTGCACTCAGTACTACAGAGTTTTTCAAAGTGGCCATCACCAAAGAGCAGAAACAACAGAAACATCAGAAAGAGGGCGATTTATGAAGCGTTAAAGCTCAAACCCGATCTGTGGTTGGGCGGGTAGGAGTAGTAGTAGTAATAGTAGTAATAGTAGTAGTAGTTATAGTAGTTCCCAGGCCTGACCCCGGTCTTTCTGTGTGAGGTGTGTCTCTCCTGGGGTGGGTTTCCTCCAGGCGCTCTGGTTTTCCTCACCACCAAAAACATGCACCATAAATCCTCCAGCTCCGGTGTAGAGTCCTGACCAAGTCCTGCACATAAACTGTGTATAGATGGACAATGCTAACCTGCTAGCTCAACGTAGCCCAATATGAAAGTGATCATGGATGAAGTTTTGCTCCAACTCGCTCTGGCTCTTATAGCAATGAAATGTAACCTCCTCGAGCTCAGTAATCCATCCATCCATCTTTTTACCATGCCATATCTGTAAATGTGGATATGAGATTTGACCAATCAGAGGCCTACTTTCACATGGGAAACTCCAGCTTGCCTAAACAAACATCTTAGCCACACATTTGCCCATGTTACGGTGCATAATAGCTAACACCAGACCAAATGCCCATATAAGGAAACTGACTCCAGCTAGCTTGTGTTCAAATCGGCTTCTTCCGCATTGAAGCACACTAGGGTGACAGTGGCTCAGTTGGTAGAGCATTGGCCTTTGGGCCTGAAGGTCGTGGGTTCAGGCCCACTGTAAGACCTACTTCACGACTCCCACTGATGACTGCTGTCGTTGTGTCCTTGGGCAAGACACTTAACCCCACTTTGCCTGAAGCCCTCACTGAAAGATCTCAGCTCCTGTGGATTCAGCTCCTGCAGGAGGATCAGTGAGGGGGTGGTGCTCTGTGTACTGGGTGCAGCTTTGACTGCCACCCCCTCCGACCCAGAAATGGATTAAGGGGAAGAAGATGGATGGATGGATGGATTGCCAAGGATAAACCTCTGGAGATGTTCCAACAGAGGCCCTGATGGAGTTGAAGGATGGACTAAAACTAATTCCATGACATGACTATATGGCTGTATTGTCTACCTTGTACTTATCTGCACCACAACAAGCAAACTATAACAATATGGCAAACACACAACAAAAGACATTGTTAGTTTTTACGGAATAGGTCACAACATTCTAGTTATTGCCACACTGTACTTAAAAAAAAACACACACACACACACAAATCAAGAACATTGTATCTTGTTGCCAACAATTACCAAACAACGCAAAAAGTACTTCACGTCTAAAAATCTTAATACTGACAAAAAAATCCCTTTGTTTTTGGTGAGTTTTTAAAAGCGCCGTCAATCAGCCCCAACTAATGGGAGAGTGCGTTCTGTAATTCACGACAATAAATGTGAAGAGATTTGGAGCTTTAAAATAAAAATCAGACTGGCAGACACGGGCGCTGACAGCCGAGCGGCGTCCTCTGACAGCGCCGGGTAAAAATAACTGCGCTCGCAACAAATTAGACGTATCGCAGTCTTCTAAGAGAGAGATGAATGTTTGTGTGGATGCTCCCGCCGCGGCGTCACACTGGGCCGATACATCAGGCCGATACATCAGGCCGATACGTCAGGCCGATACGTCAGGTCGATACATCAGGCCGATACATCAGGCAGATACATCAGGCAGATACATCAGGCCGATACATCAGGCAGATACGTCAGGCAGATACATCAGGCCGATACGTCAGGCCGATACATCAGGCAGATACATCAGGCCGATACATCAGGCAGATACATCAGGCAGATACATCAGGCCGATACGTCAGGCCGATACATCAGGCAGATACATCAGGCCGATACGTCAGGCCGATACATCAGGCAGATACATCAGGCCGATACATCAGGCAGATACATCAGGCCGATACATCAGGCAGATACATCAGGCCGATACATCAGGCCGATACATCAGGCAGACACATCAGGCCGACACGTCAGGCCGACACGTCAGGCCGATACGTCAGGCCGATACGTCAGGCCGATACATCAGGCCGATACATCAGGCCGATACATCAGGCCGACACATCAGGCCGACACATCAGGCCGATACATCAGGCCGACACATCAGGCAGACACATCAGGCAGATACATCAGGCCGATACATCAGGCCGATACATCAGGCCGATACGTCAGGCCGATACGTCAGGCCGATACGTCAGGCAGATACGTCAGGCCGATACATCAGGCCGATACATCAGGCAGATACATCAGGCCGACACATCAGGCCGACACATCAGGCCGAAATCAGGCAGATACGTCAGGCCGATACATCAGGCCGATACATCAGGCCGATACGTCAGGCCGATACGTCAGGCCGATACGTCAGGCCGATACGTCAGGCCGATACGTCAGGCCGATACGTCAGGCCGATACGTCAGGCCGATACGTCAGGCCGATACGTCAGGCCGATACATCAGGCAGATACATCAGGCAGATACGTCAGGCCGATACGTCAGGCCGATACGTCAGGCCGATACATCAGGCCGATACCTCAGGCAGATACATCAGGCAGATACATCAGGCCGATACGTCAGGCAGATACGTCAGGCAGATACATCAGGCCGATACGTCAGGCCGATACGTCAGGCCGATACATCAGGCCGATACATCAGGCAGATACATCAGGCCGACACATCAGGCCGACACATCAGGCCGATACATCAGGCCGACACATCAGGCAGATACATCAGGCAGATACATCAGGCCGATACATCAGGCCGATACATCAGGCCGATACATCAGGCCGATACATCAGGCAGATACGTCAGGCCGATACGTCAGGCCGATACGTCAGGCCGATACATCAGGCCGATACATCAGGCAGATACATCAGGCCGACACATCAGGCCGATACATCAGGCAGACACATCAGGCAGATACATCAGGCAGATACATCAGGCCGATACATCAGGCCGATACATCAGGCCGATACATCAGGCCGATACATCAGGCAGATACATCAGGCCGATACATCAGGCCAATACATCAGGCAGATACATCAGGCAGATACATCAGGCAGATACTTCAGGCCGACACATCAGGCCGACACATCAGGCCGACACATCAGGCAGATACATCAGGCCGACACATCAGGCCGACACATCAGGCCGACACATCAGGCCGACACATCAGGCCGACACATCAGGCCGACACATCAGGCCGACACATCAGGCCGACACATCAGGCCGACACATCAGGCCGAACATCAGGCCGACACATCAGGCCGACACATCAGGCCGACACATCAGGCCGAACATCAGGCCGACACATCAGGCCGATACATCAGGCCGATACATCAGGCAGATACATCAGGCCGACACATCAGGCCGACACATCAGGCCGAAATCAGGCAGATACGTCAGGCCGATACGTCAGGCCGATACGTCAGGCCGATACGTCAGGCCGATACGTCAGGCCGATACGTCAGGCCGATACGTCAGGCCGATACGTCAGGCCGATACGTCAGGCCGATACGTCAGGCCGATACATCAGGCAGATACATCAGGCAGATACGTCAGGCCGATACGTCAGGCCGATACGTCAGGCCGATACATCAGGCCGATACATCAGGCAGATACATCAGGCAGATACATCAGGCCGATACGTCAGGCAGATACGTCAGGCAGATACATCAGGCCGATACGTCAGGCCGATACGTCAGGCCGATACATCAGGCCGATACATCAGGCAGATACATCAGGCCGACACATCAGGCCGACACATCAGGCCGATACATCAGGCCGACACATCAGGCAGATACATCAGGCAGATACATCAGGCCGACACATCAGGCAGATACATCAGGCAGATACATCAGGCCGATACATCAGGCCGATACATCAGGCCGATACATCAGGCAGATACGTCAGGCCGATACGTCAGGCCGATACGTCAGGCCGATACATCAGGCCGATACATCAGGCAGATACATCAGGCCGACACATCAGGCTGATACATCAGGCAGACACATCAGGCAGATACATCAGGCAGATACATCAGGCCGATACATCAGGCCGATACATCAGGCCGATACATCAGGCCGATACATCAGGCAGATACATCAGGCCGATACATCAGGCCGATACATCAGGCCAATACATCAGGCAGATACATCAGGCAGATACATCAGGCAGATACTTCAGGCCGATACTTCAGGCCGACACATCAGGCCGACACATCAGGCCGACACATCAGGCCGACACATCAGGCCGACACATCAGGCAGATACATCAGGCAGATACATCAGGCCGACACATCAGGCCGACACATCAGGCCGACACATCAGGCCGACACATCAGGCCGACACATCAGGCCGACACATTAGGCCGAACATCAGGCCGACACATCAGGCCGATACATCAGGCCGATACATCAGGCAGATACATCAGGCCGACACATCAGGCCGACACATCAGGCCGACACATCAGGCAGATACATCAGGCCGACACATCAGGCAGACACATCAGGCCGACACATCAGGCCGACACATCAGGCCGAACATCAGGCCGACACATCAGGCCGATACATCAGGCCGACACATCAGGCCGACACATCAGGCAGACACATCAGGCCGACACATCAGGCCGACACATCAGGCCGACACATCAGGCAGACACATCAGGCCGACACATCAGGCCGACACATCAGGCCGAACATCAGGCCGACACATCAGGCCGATACATCAGGCCGATACATCAGGCCGATACATCAGGCTGCTCAGGCTGCACTGGGAACAGATGAGGTCCCACTCCCACAGACCGTCTGTGGCGCCGTATGGTCAATGCAAATGTGTTAGTGCTGCTCCGGTGCAGACATTATGGTTTGTTTTTTTTGTTTTTTTTACGGCACATCCAATATTGTATTTTTATATATTTGAGTTTTTAGATGTCTTGTTAATCTACATGTACAGATACAATAGTTAGATAGATATATACTTTATTGATCCCAAAGGAAATTATGCATTGGTCTCTTGCTCACATTCATACAATCATAGGATAGAGTTAAAAGATACAAAACAGTTAAAAAAGATAATAACTGTGTCGATAAACATACTAAATACTTCTAATCCAAAAGAGAGGGAGAGACGGAAAATTAAATGAATGACAAAAATAAAGTATTTGACCTCCCAATTATACTTACTTCCCACTTTCTACCTTCCAGATAAATAAATAAAAAAAATCAACCTTCATTTGTCTTGTTCCTGACGAATACTCAATTATTAAAAAAAACACACAAAAGCTGTCATTGTTACATGATTGACATATCTCACAATTCTTCAGCTTGGTCTCTCAAAATAGTATTTTTAAGTGCATCAAAACGTGCAGTGGTAAATGAACTGCTGAAACTTGTTACTTACGTGGCAATAAAAATGATTCTGATTCTGAAACAAGAATCTATTTTGTACACAGAAAAAAAAATACAGCTGGATTCCACCGCTACTTTCTCAATCACACTTTATATAAACATGTAATGAATAATATACTCTAAAAGGCAATACAATCAGACAGAGAAGTTAGGGCTGGGCGATATGGCAAAAAAAATAAATCTCCGATTTTTTCACACCAAATCCGATTTTCGATTTTAATCGATTTATTTTTTTCTATTTAAAAACAAACTACAACTGACAAAGAAATAGATTTTCCTTTATGCAGTTTAATCTAAATCCCCATGGAGCATAAGTGTAACAGGATTTAAGCCTTAAAACATGCTTGTAAACGAGATGGCTCTGCCATTGTAAACAGTGAAAATTTAGCTTAACAGTTTTATAATAACTTCACTTACAATGACACTATGCACCTTCAAAATAACTTAAATCACACAAACAAGGCCCATCGCAAATATATCAATCCTATTAAACACATGCATTATTTACATGAAATATCACATTTTTAAAACTGATTACTCAAAATAGAAATGTTGTAACAGACAGTCTTTTCCAAAAGCCTCCTCGGGTTTTCATGCTTGTTCTTTCAACTGTGCCTGAGTAACTGTGCTGTAGTACAACGCTCGGTCCAGCTGGTGGCGCTAATACTAACTTCAGTGACTCCCGCATTGTGCGAGCTTCCTGTTTACATTCTGATGCTGTAGCTAACAGCTACTGTAGCAGCTACTGTAGCAGCTACTGTAGCATCTACTGTAGCTAACAGCTACTGTAGCAGCTACTGTAGCTAACAGACAGCGGGGAACACGTTGTTTGTATCAGAGCAATGAGAGCAATGTGTGAGACGTGTCTTTACCCAAAGTGCAGCGGCTCAGTGGGACACGAGTGTGTGCGCGCCACGGACACGGGAGTGCGCTTTGGAATAACGAGCGTGAGAGAGCGTGAAAGATGTGGCGTACGAACATAGCGACCGGAGCCTGCGTGCGTGTGTGTGTGTGTTTTGGCGATTAAATAAAGTCTGATTCTTGAACGTTTGAAGTGTTATTGCAACAGCACCAACTGTGAGAGCGAGCATCAGGCCAGAGGGAGACTGTTAGCATTAGGTTAGCTTCAACACCATAGACCCGCGGTTAGCGCGTTAGCGCTGTAGTTCTGCGCTGGAGAAAATAAAAATCGAATTAAAAAAAAAGAAATCGCCCTAAACGTAAAACTCGAATTAATGATTAAAATCGATTAATCGCCCAGCCCTAAGAGAAGTTAAAACAATTCTCTCAGTATGCAACACTTTGTCGGAGAATGCTAAAGACAAAATGTTTTCTTCTAAGGTTTGCTCATAAAAAGGACAAACGTCTGCACTGCACATTCAGGAAAGGTTACGATGGTCCATAGAATGGATAAGTCTATAATGAAAATGCTAAGAGCCACTGTCGCACATTAGTGGTGGGAAAAAAATCGATTCTGTTCAGTGTCTCCTCAAATGAAATCCTCACAACCAGTTCTATGTGTCGCAATTTTGCACAACCCTTCCAAGTTTTTACACTTTGGTGAATATGCAGACCATAGATAGATAGAAGAGCTGTAGCAGTTTTGATTTCCTCAATTTTTTAATCTTAAGAGGGACATGAATCACATTATATCACAGAATCGAATCCCAATACTTGCTGTATCGCAATATGTCAAGAATCGAAATAAGAATCGTCAAGTGTTTGCTCAAATATCACAATACCATCGACTCGTCACCGTTCTGCCAGTTCCCACCTCTATCACACATCACTTCCTCACAGTGAATGTAGTTAAAGCGTCCAAAATAATTCAGTTTGTGTGTGATTGGAACAGAGAGTCTTGTGCAGAGGGGCGGGTCCCGGCTCAAAAGTGTCCAAAATGAGGTGCGCTGACATGCTGCAGTACCACCCCGGGCCTGTGGGGGTGGACCCAGAATAAGAATTAGCCAATGCTAACATATAGCATCTTCTTACCTCTGGAAAACGTCTTTACAGGATGGACCAAAAGTGGCTCTTGGCCCAAAGCTCCGGTCCACATGTGTGTCAATGCTGAGTGTTCTGGACCAGTCTAGTTTAGTCGCTGTGGACTTTTGAAGTCTCTCATTTTGGAGCTCGTGCAGCTGACGCATGCACAGATGCGTTTTTTCACATTATCCAGCCCCCGCGGCCATTTTGAAACACTCCATGAAAGCCCTATTTTTGGCCCATTACGGTAGTTAGAACGGCGGAGATAGGCCGTTAATATAAACAGTCTATGGTCTTGTGGCAACCCAAACCCAAACCCAACTAAAGCCAAAGTCAGCCCAAACCTGTGCAGATAGTTCACCTACAGAGTGTGCAAGTGTCAGTGAGTGCCGGTCAGTGTCAGTGAGTGCCGGTTAGTGTCGGTCAGTGTCAGAAAGGGTCAGTGAGTGCCAGTCAGTGTCGGTGAGTGTCAGTGAGTGCCGGTCAGTGTCAGTGAGTGCCGGTTAGTGTCGGTCAGTGTCAGAAAGGGTCAGTGAGTGCCAGTCAGTGTCGGTGAGTGTCAGTGAGTGTCGGCCAGTGTCAGTGAGTGCCGGTTAGTGTCGGTCAGTGTCAGAAAGGGTCAGTGAGTGCCAGTCAGTGTCGGTGAGTGTCAGTGAGTGCCGGTCAGTGTCAGTGAGTGCCGGTTAGTGTCGGTCAGTGTCAGAAAGGGTCAGTGAGTGCCAGTCAGTGTCGGTGAGTGTCAGTGAGTGTCGGCCAGTGTCGGTCAGTGTCGGTCAGTGTCAGTGAGTGTCTGTGAGTGTCAGTGAGTGCCGATCAGTGTCAGTGAGTGTCGGTCAGTGTCAGTCAGTGTCGGTGAGTGCCGGTGAGTGTCGGTCAGTGTCAGTCAGTGTCGGTGAGTGCCGGTCAGTGTCGGTCAGTGTCAGTGAGTGTCGGCCAGTGTCGGTCAGTGTCGGTCAGTGTCAGTGAGTGTCTGTGAGTGTCAGTGAGTGCCGATCAGTGTCAGTGAGTGTCGGTCAGTGTCAGTCAGTGTCGGTGAGTGCCGGTGAGTGTCGGTCAGTGTCAGTCAGTGTCGGTGAGTGCCGGTCAGTGTCGGTCAGTGTCAGTGAGTGTCGGCCAGTGTCGGTCAGTGTCAGTGAGTGTCTGTGAGTGTCAGTGAGTGCCGATCAGTGTCAGTGAGTGTCGGTCAGTGTCAGTCAGTGTCGGTGAGTGCCGGTGAGTGTCGGTCAGTGTCAGTGAGTGTCGGTCAGTGTCGGTGAGTGCCGGTCAGTGTCGGTCAGTGTCAGTGAGTGTCGGCCAGTGTCGGTCAGTGTCAGTGAGTGTCTGTGAGTGTCAGTGAGTGCCGATCAGTGTCAGTGAGTGTCGGCCAGTGTCGGTCAGTGTCAGTGAGTGTCTGTGAGTGTCAGTGAGTGCCGATCAGTGTCAGTGAGTGTCGGTCAGTGTCGGTCAGTGTCGGTGAGTGCCGGTGAGTGTCGGTCAGTGTCGGTCAGTGTCAGTGAGTGTCGGCCAGTGTCAGTGAGTGTCGGCCAGTGTCGGTCAGTGTCAGTGAGTGTCTGTGAGTGTCAGTGAGTGCCGGTCAGTGGCTCCTGGACGGCGCACACATGTGAAAGTGCTCACGTTCATGTTTTTCCGTGTCATGGGATCTGGTTCTGAGCCGGAGCCCGGTGTCAGGGCCCGAGGTGTCAGCTGGAGTGGTGCTGGATCCTGCTCTCTGTAACTAACACCAGAGCAGTGTAGCATTTCCTCCTATTACACAACAACACCGTGGTTTATTCATGCCGGCGTTAATCACTTCCACAGAGAGATCTTTGAGTTTCCTCGCAGACGCAGGAGGGTCTAAGGACGGTGATGATTTAACGACTTCTACCAACACCCCCTACACGGACCAATGGCTCATACGTGTTTGTTATTATTGTTATACAGTATTTCCTGTGAATTTAATCTAGGGTTAATAGCATGAGATAGGACATGTGTTCTGGCATTTTGTATAAAGCTTAATTATTCAACCACTATAGATGTGTTCCACAAAGGGCCTTGTTCAGTCTATACACGCTGACAACTGGGATATCTGACTAGAATTGTTTTACTTCAAGTTGTATTAGATTTGTTTACACCCCTCGATTATTTAGAAATAGTCTTTTCGAACAACTAACTGTATTTTCAAAACCAAATCAAAGTATTTAGACTTTTTACGGCGCCACAAGTTTGTGTGCGCTCAATTTTTCTCTTTAGAATCTATACTTGTTTTAATTAGTATCTAGTTTTGATACTTTTTCTGACTACCCTTTTTTAGTCTGCTGAATGTAAACATATTTTTGTTGCGACCTGAAAGCCAAGTCTCCTAAATCCAAATAAACTCATTCAGGAGTTTTGAAGTTTTGTCATCAGGAACAATAAAATACATCCTCAGACTACTTTTCACCGCAGTGGCTTCATTTCACAACACTCTACTCCACACACACTACACAAATGAGACTCAATGACTCACAATCCTGGCCTGGTCTGGTCTGGTATAGTCTGCTCTGGCTCCCCTGCTCCCCTCACAGCCTCCCCATACTAAAGCACACACAGCTGGGGGATTGCGCCAAAAAAATAAAAATAAAACCCGGCTACATTTCTGCTCCATGCTAGTTAAATTACAGAGCAGGTCACAGCGGGGGACTGGGAACACCACCACCAATCATCCCCTGTCATCCTCCCGGTGTATTTGTCAACACACAACCTGCTGTAATTGGCGTAATTGTCAGGCTGGAACCCATCGTCGCTGGCCGAGGATCTGGAGGCGCTCCCAGGGACACGGCGGCTACAACCAGAGCGCGTATATAGCAGCGACAGCCCGCCTGATAAAATGGCTCCCTCTTATCTGGCGTGTGCATATGAAAGGCTTATGTCTTCTCCGTGACACATTGTGCGCCTGCGTCACCGTGGGATTCGCACAGATCCAGCAGAACACAGGGGCCCACAGAAAGACAATGTTACATGCACCGCCTCCTCCAGCGCTGTCAGCTGATATTTGTGTGTTTTTTTTCTCTGAACATCAGTAAAAGAACGGCACAGAGGAGGCTGGCTGCTCGCTCGCTGTGGGGGATTCGCTTTCAGACGCCGAGAAACACGAGTGAGATGAACGGCTTAATGACCTTATCACATATTGATACTCTGCGATTCGCTTTTTTTTTTCCAGCTCGGATCAAATGTCAGATGTGGAGCAGCTGAAGGTGCTCCGTTCAGTGTGTACCTGTAACGTACAGGAGATAATATGGATGAACTGTGAATGAACTGAGGTGAAACTCTAATGTAGAAAGTGCGAGTCATAAAACTTCTTCTTGGCGTTTCAGTGTGTGTGTGAAGGGTAAGTAAATAAGAGCTTAGGTTACATCCAGTAACTCAATCACATACGTTCAGTAAGAGTATATAAGTTTAGCTAAAAGGTGTGTGTGTATGTAAGTGTATGTATTTATTTATGTATGCGCATGTATGTTTGTGTACGTATACTATATGTGTGAGTATGTACTGTATGTATGTGTGTGTGTGTGTGTGCATATACTGTATCTATGTGCTTGTGTGTTGTGCATGTGTATGTGTTTGTATGTATGTATGTCTAAACGTGTATGTGTATGTATGCATATGTGTGCGTATGTATGTATGTATGTGTGTATGCGTGTGTGTGTGTATGCGTATGTGTATGCATGTATGTGTGTGTGTGTGTATGCGTGTGTGCGTATGTGCGTGTGCGTCTATGTATGCACGTGTGTAATTGGTGACGGCCTATCTCGTCAAGTGCTTGTTCTAATGAAGAAAACACTGTGAATAATATTTTAACAATAAAAGCACTTTATTTTTCGCAGCCAAAGCCTGATTCGATAATGACAGAGTAAGCGGTGTGTAATTACTGTGATGAGATGGTTTCATTAATCCGACAGCACTCACGCGGCGCCTTGTTTGTTTGTTTTGCTTCTTTTCAACCAAAGTCAACAGCTCCCCAACAGCCACGCCGGTTATCTATACATTTATTTTCAATTTGAGGTGAGCAGCAGTCATGAAATCACAAGCCGGCAGAAGATTATTATAATTACCGAGCAGCTGCGGCACATGCGGCAGCGCGACGGAAAGCACGTTTACTCATGTTACACATAAAAAGTGTCTTCATTTGTATGGTAATGATGTCAAACTAAGAGCAGCTCGGGCGCTAACACGGGCGCTAACACGGCACGACAGCTTTCAGACACGCTAATTACTGGCCCCGGTTTGTGGTGCGGCATCTTCTCTTGTGCACAGATTTGAAATATTAACAATTACATTTGGAGAACAGACATTTAAGTTAAATTGTGAAGAGAGGGTGTCACTTTTTGAATGCACTTAGACACGCCCCCTGCAGCTTCCTGATTGGTCGAAATGAATTCAAATCCTTGAGGCTGCTTGGAAGTCATTGGTTAAACTTTTCTCCTCCATTAATTCTTTTTGGTTGTAGCTTTGCCAAAGAAGGAACTGTTTTATATTTATTATTGTTGACAATTTCTTACTCTATAAAATCAAAGACTTCCCAATGGTCTTTTTTTTCATTTTTTTTATTAACTACAATTTAAGTTTCTGATCTTAAGATTCTTTAGACAGTTGTGGCTATTTACTAAATATCTTATAATGAGAAAAAACGTCTTGAGGAAGGGATCTCAGAAATGTCTACATCAGCTGTTTTTTTGTTGTTGTTAAGAATGTAAGTTAAATGCAGAAATTCAGAAAAATTTGTCTCAAAAGTTTTGCAAACATGACCGAATATTGCAAGGACTTGTCACAACATACCAGGTTTGAGAAAAGAGTATTCCGACAAACGAGTCGAAGGAAAGCGTTTGGGCAAGAACTTTCTTAGTGTTAGCATGGATGGAGCTAAACACAACTTCAGGGCGCAATTATGGTTAAAAATTCAATCTGTTTAAAGTGTGAGACTGGCCTGTTCGTCTGTTGTTTGCTTCTGTTTTGTGACATTTCGTGTGTAGTTTTTAACGTGTTTTTAATCTCCACACTGCTAAAAATGAATTGCCACTGACATAAACAACATAAACAAGTGTGAATCTGAATCAAAATTTAAAAAGGGTTTGAGACAGTTTGAGTCTTCGGGTTCTCTGGTACGTGACAAAAGGCAGATACACAAAACTTGAGCTGAATTTCTTTACTCTCGTCCTCACGCACGACACACATTCTACTCATGTGTAAAAATCTCTGTCCGACTTTTCCGGTGTGAAATCTGACGAACCTTTAAGAGCAGCGTAAATTGCCATAATAAGAGGCAGGATTGCAGAAACGTAGCTCATGTTGATGTTATGTTTATTAAAAACACGCAGGAGCCCAGGGGATGTGTTGCTCTTTAGGCCTAGAGACAGGCTCCGATGAAAACGTGCTTTTCCCAGAGCAGCGGTAGGAGTGTGTAGTGTAAGTGTAATGCTAGCATGGTGCGTTCCCTGGGGGTTTGTGTTGCCATTTGCACTGCTAGCGCTGCAATCCCCCTGACAGGGCTGTTTATAAGCCCCGCACTATCACAGGCTGAGCAGGAGGACGAGCCTTCATTAGAGATTAGAGTGACCGCCACAGAGTCCAGCAGCAGCAACACAACTACAACACAACCACAACACGCACACGTCACACACAAACGTTACCACAACACGCACACACAAACGTCACCACAACACGCACACACAAACGTTACCACAACACGCACACACAAACGTCACCACAACACGCACACACAAACGTTACCACAAAACGCACACACAAACGTTACCACAACACGCACACGTCACACACAAACGTTACCACAACATGCACACACAAACGTTACCACAACACGCACACGTCACACACAAACGTTACCACAACACGCACACGTCACACACTTCCTCTGCTTAACGCGCTGTGAAAACATTAGTGAACGACACCCAAGACATGTTTTAAATTGGCTTCAGTTGATCTCCTCGGAAAGAAAAACAAGTGCACTTTGTAGGAGTCGAACAAGCCTGAAGACAGAAGCATCCGGAAGGAGAGCAGCCGCGGGTTCTGAGCCCGTTCAAAGCTCGCGGGGTTATGACCTTGTTGATGCATTTTTAATTTTTATACACGATTTAATATACAATGCGGAGGCCGCTCTGGAAACACAGGGGACATGTTTGTTTTCAGCTCAACTCAATGCCTTTCATTCCGTCTTGTTGCTGCTTCACAATTTTTTTTTTTTTTTTTTTAAGTAATCACTTTCACTTTTGCATGTCTATCTCCACCTTTTGTATGTCTATTTTCACGTAAAAAAAATAAAAAATAAAAATAAAAATCTCGGAGGACTCCACAAAACACAGCCGTTTAAGGGGATTTTTTTTTAAAAGCTTTTTTATATATGTATTTTTTTATATTTCTGTTATGTCTGTATTTATGTTCACTTTTTGATTAAAAATGTAAATTAAAGTTGTTATTTTACAGTATAGATAAAGATGAAGAGATCCTATATTCGTCCCACAGTGGGGAAATTTCAGTGTTGCATCGCCAGGTACAGTAGGAATGAGGAGCACACAGCACAAGATAAAAGAACAAAATCTTTAGCGTTAGCATAATAAAGACGCAATAATATCATTGAATTTGGTTAAATTGAATACATTACACATTGTAATTTGAAAAAGCCAAATTGTGGTTATGATTCTTGACAGTATGGAGTCGCCCCATCATAAATAATGTGTAATTATAATTTAGTCATGCAGAACATTCCGGAGAGCACATCATTTCAACCTTCGCCGTGTGCTAATTGCGACCATTAAAACAGCCATTTCTGTTTGACTTCGAATGTCACACGGCGATCACTAAAAAAAGCCAATGCCACCACAGTATATATGAGTGGCTCTGATTGCCACCTGCCCGACCCAGAAATGGAACAAATGGGGAAGAAAATGGACAAATGGGGAAGAAATTGAATAATGGTGGATTTAGGAAAATTTAGTCTAAAATCTCCAACTTTAGCATCATAAATAAATCAATATAGTTTTTAAAAATATTAATCTCTAATGTGGTATAAAGGCAATTAAGAAAATACATGATTGTGGTCAAGGCAAACTATTCCAACTCTTCTGCTTCGAACAAAGCTAAAGCTAAAAACAAATTCGCAGAATTATCGCCGCTGACAAACGAGAAACAGATAAATCATACATATGACGCTCTAAACAAGGCCGTTAAAATGACATTAGGAGGACATCCAGGCTGTGATAAGTCCAGTGCTGGTTGGAGGGTGAGAGGTGAGCCAGAGGAGGTGGGGGCTCCTCCGCAGCATGGAGCGCTGGCAGTAAGTGCCTAATGAGGGTGAAGAGAGGCCCCTGGAGCCCCTACGGCACATTCATTAGGAGATGAAAAAGCTCCTCTCCTCCCTCAGACCGGACAGGGCTCGGGCCAGCTGTGATGGCGCTCTGAAGCTCGGATGTCATCACAAGCACTTGGACATACATCATATTGATCACAGGAGACGCTGGCTGATAAAACTATATTATATTAACCTGGTGTTGAGGACAGGAAGTGCTGAACGGACCCCAGAAGATGGTGCAGGAGTGAGACGGACGCAGCAGCGAGATCACACACTCGAGTTGATATAGATCAGGGGTCCCCAACCTTTTTCACCTGGAGAGCTACTATCTCGGTCTAAAATAGCAGAAAGAGAGAGCTACTACACTGTAATTTTTGGGCCAATTTTGTTACAGCTTAAATGGTTTTATGAGCAGTAACGGTGATAGCTTGGTACTTATTATGTATCTTTATACCGCCTTTTCACTGCAGATCTGATCTCAAAGCGGTTTACAATTGTTAAGTTTTTGGGCATTTGTCTCTCACTCCACACAGAGATGGGAGTCCTCTCACTCCACACAGAGGGGTCGCCAGTACAGGAGGCGCATGCCAGAACTATTGGACATATTTTTAGTGGTAGGGGAAACCAGAGTACCCGGAGGAAACCTACGCAGACACGGGGAGAACATGCAAACTCCACCAGAAAGGCCCTGGGTCCGACCGGGATTCGAACCCAGGACCTTCTTGCCGAGAGTGCTAACCACTCAGCCACCTGGCATCTCTGTGCTAATGTCTGCTGTGGACAGATTAATACGGGGCAACAGAGCTTTTCAAAACTTTCATTTCCTTTTATTGCGTTTGCTTTTTGTTGCATTTTTTTCCTCCAGGCAAAAATAATAGACTCCACTCATGGATGGAATGGCCACTGAGCGCCCAGTGTCGGGAGAAATTGCCCAGCAGTTCACATTTCAGAGGTGAGTTTTCCTGATGCATACAGATGTGAAGGGCAACTCTCCAGGTGTGGCTCTCAAAGACAAAAGACTCATGTTGGTCCACTGTGGCTCTGGGTCTTATCGCGCTGCTTATCCACGCCCTGATGAGGCCTCTATTATTAAAGCCGTCTGCGCGCCTTGTTTATAGCAATCTCCTGTAATTAGCACCCGCAAACCTTCCGGGTGCTAATCCCCCATGAATTGTGGATTTGACATCAAAGCTCACTCTCTCCCCATATACTCCCCGCTTGAAATTAGGTTTATTTGAAACCTGCAATTATTTGTATGACATGGATGCTCCAGTCTCCGTCTTATGTCTCAGAAAATCCTGTGGCTTTACCGAAAGAATATCCACTTCCATGGATTCAAATATAGAGTTTTTATGCGTGATGCACGGCAGGAGCCTGCTGCGTGCTCAAAGTTCAACAAAATGTGTTTTCTCTGCCTCTTTACACCTCTCTGTGTTGTAGAGCCTCCCACAGAGTCAGGGGCTGTAACTCAGGAAATAACTTTTCACAGCGCCATTGTATAGCAAGTGATAAATAAGAGCCAAATTAATACACAAAATAGTACATTCATTACTCAAAGTCAGTTTACAGCTGCAGCAACACAAAGGGTTTATAAAACAAAAGGAAGTGTCAAAGAAAGAATCCGAAACAAAGTACACATTATGACTTATTATTGCTAAATTTAATATATGGCACTATCAATGAATGGGCATCAGAGTACAGAACTCCCAAACAAAAGAGTCTGAGAAAAGGAATGAAATAGTGAACAAAGGGTTAAACTATATCAATATTAGTTTACGTAGCATTTGCAACTTCAGTACTACAGAGTTTTCAAAGTGGCCATCACCATAGAGCATAAACAACAGAAACACATCAGATAGAGGGGCGATTTTATGAAGCGTTAAAGTTCAAACCCGATCTGGTGGTTGGGCGGGTAGGAGTAGTAGTAGTAATATAGTAATAGGATGTATATTTTATAGTAGTCTTCCCAGGCCTGAACCCGGTCCTTTCTGTGTGAAGGGTGTGTCTCTCACTGGGGTGGTTTTCCTCCAGGCCTCTGGTTTTTTTGTCCTCACACACCAAAAACATGCACCATATATCCTCCAGTCCGGTTAGAGTCCTGTCCAAGTCCTGCACATAAACTGTGTATAGATGGCCACATGCTAACCTGCAAGCTCAACGTAGCCCAATATGAAAGTGATCATGGATGAAGTTTTGCTCCAACTCCGCTCTGGCTCTTATAGCAATGAAATGTAACCTCCCACTCGAGCTCAGTAACCATCCATCCATCTTTTACATGCCAACTCTGGAAATGTGATATGAGATTTGACCGAAAAAAAAAACAAAAAAAAATCCTCCAAAGCCTACTTCTTTCCACATTGGAAACTCCACTTGCCTAACAAACATCTTAGGCCACACATTTGCCCATGTGTACGGTGCATAATACCCGAACCACCAGACCAAATGCCCATATAAGGAAACTGACTCCAACACTCCAGCTAGCTTGTGTTCTAATCGCTTCTTTACCGCATTGAAGCTCACTAGGGGTGACGTGGCTCAGTTGGTAGAGCATTGCCTTTGGGCCTGAAGGTCGTGGTTCAGGCCTCACTGAAGACCTACATCACGACTCCCCACTGATGAACTAGCTGTCGTTGTTTCCTTGGGCAAGACACTTAACCCTCACTTTGCCTGAAATTGAGCCCTCACTGAAAGATCTCAGCTCCTGTGGATTCACATCCTAGCAGGAGGATCAGTGAGGGGTGGTGCTCTGTGTACTGGTGCAGCTTTGACTGCGCACCCCCTCCGTCCCAGAAATGGATTAAGGGGAAGAAGATGGAATGGACTGGATGGATTGCCAAGGATAAACCTCTGAGATGTCCAACATAGGCCCTGATGGAGTTGAAGGATGGACTAAACTAATTCCATGACATGACTATATGCTGTATTGTCCTACCTTGAACATATCTGCACCACAACAAGCAAACTATAATCCAATATGGCAAACACTCAACAAAAAGACATTGTTAGTTTTTTAACGGAATAGGTCACAACATTCTAGTTATTGCCACACTGTACTTAAAAAAAAACACACACAACGCTACACCACACACAACTCAAGAACATTGTATCTTTTTGCCAACAATTTCCAAACAACGCAAAAAGTACTTACGTCTAAAAATCTAATACTGACAATAAAAATCCCCTTGTTTTTGGTGAGTTTTTAAAAGCGCCGTCAATCAGCCCCAAACTAATTGAGAGGCTTTCTGTAATTCACGACAAAAATGTGAAAATTTGGAGCCTTTAAAAAAAAATCAGACTGGCAGACACGGGCGCTGACAGCCGAAGCGGAGTCCTCTGACCGCGCCGGGTAAAAAATAAACTGCCTCGCAACAATTAGACGTATCGCAGTCTTCTAAGAGAGAGATGAAATGTTTGTGTGGATGCTCCCCTCCCCTCCCTCCAGCGGCGTCACACTGTCTAAATTAGATAATCAGGCCGATACATCAGGGCCGATACGTCAGGCCGATACCTCAGGTCGATACATCAGGCCGATACATCAGGCCGATACATCAGTCGCAGATACATTCAGCCGATACTCAGGCAGATAACGTCAGGCAGATACAATCAGTCGATACGTCAGAGCCGATACATCCAGCATACATCAGTCCGATTACATCAGTCAGATTACATCAGGCAGATACATCTGTCCGATACGTCAGCCGATACTTCAGCAGATACATCAGGCCGAACGTCAGCCGATACATCAGAGAGATACATCAGGCGATAAATCAGGCAGATACATCAGGCCGATACATCAAGCAGATACATCAGGCCGATACATCAGTCCGATACATCAGGCAGACACAATCGGGTACGCGGCAGGACCGTCAGGCCAGACACGTCGGCCGACACGTCAGGCCGATACGTCAGGCATACGTCCACCGAGCCAGTCAGCCCGATAACATCAGGGCCGATACATCAGGCCGACACATCCTGCCTACACATCAGCCGATACATCAGGCTACACATCTGCAACACATCAGGCAGATACATCATGCCGATACATCAGGCCGATACCATCAGGGCCGATACGTCGGCCGTTACGTCAGGCCGATACGTCAGCAGATACGTCAGGCAGATACATCAGGCCGATACATCAGGCAGATCATCAGGCCTACACATCATGCCGACACATCAGGCCGAAATCAGGCAATACGTCAGGCCGCGAGCGCTTCAGGCCCCGAGTACATCAGGCCGATACGTCAGGTCCGATACGTCAGCCGATACGTCAGGGCCGATACGTCAGGCCGAAACTCAGGCCCGATAACGTCAGGCCGATACGTCAGGCGATAGCGCCAGGCCGATACGGCAGGCCGATACATCGGCAATACATCAGGCAGATTACGTCAAGCGCCGATACTCAGGCCGATACGATCAGGCCGAGTACATCATGCCGATACCTCAGCAGATACATCAGGCAGATACATCAGGAGCCGATAGCGTCAGGCAGATACTCAGGCAGATACATCAGCGCTGATACGTCCAGGCCGATACTCGGCCGATACATCAGGCCGATACATCAGGCAGATACAAAAGGCCGACACATCAGGCCGACGCACATCAGGCCGATACATCAGGCCGACACATCTGCAGATACATCAGGCAGATACATCAGGCCGATAATCAGGCCGATACATTCAGGCCGATACATCCGGCCGATACATCAGCAGATTCGTCATGCCGATACGTCAGGCCGTACGTCAGGTCCGAAACATCAGTCCGAACACAGGCAGATACATCGAGGCCAGACACATCAGGCTCTCCGGATACATCAGGCAGACACATCAGCAGATACATCAGCAGAACAGCAGGCCGATACATCAGGCCGATACATCAGGGCCGATACATCAGGCCGATACATCTGGCAGATACATCAGGCCGATACAATCAGAGCCAATACGATCCGCAGATACATCAGGGCATATACATCAGGCAGATTACTCAGGCCGACACATCAGGCGACACATCAGGCCGACACATCAGCAGATACATCAGAGGCCGACACATCAGCCGACAATCACTCCAGGCCGACACATCATCAGGCCCCCCGACACATCAGGCCGACACATCAGGCCGACCACAGGGAACCCATCAGGACAGGCCGACACATCAGGCCGACCATCTAGACCGACACAATCAGCAGAACATCAGGCCGACACATCAGCCGACACATCAGCCGTATCACATCAGGACCGAGACATAAGGCCACACATCAGGCCGATATCATCAGGCCGATACATCAGCAGATACACACATCAGAGCCTACACATCCAGGCCGACAATCAGGCCGACATCAGGCATATACGTCAGGCCGATACGTTCAGGCCGATACGTCAGGCCGATTACGTCTGGCCGATATGTCAGCCGATACGTCAGGCCGATACTCAGGTCGATTACGTCAGGCCGATACTCAAGCCGATACGTCAGCCTACGATTACCTCAGGCAGATACATCGCAGATACGTCAGGTATCGCCGATACGCAGCCGCTACGTCGCGATACATCAGCCCGTACACAGGCAGATCTCTATCAGGCAAACCTCAGCCGATACGTCAGGCCCAGAACGCGGCAGATACATCATAGCGAGACTCAGGCCGATACGTCAAGGCCGATACATCCAGGCCGAAACATCCAGGCAGATACATCAGGCCGACACATCAGCCGTCACGATCATCGATACATCTGGACCGACACTTCAGGCAATACATCAGGCAGATCCATCATCTGACCACATCATGCAGATACATCAGGCAGATACATCAGCGTCCGATACATCAGGCCGATACATCAGCGATACGAGCAGGCAAGAGACGTCAGGCCGATACTCAGGCCCCGATACGATCAGGCCGATACACAGGCCGATACATCAGCAATAACATCTGGCCCGACACTACCACACATCACTCAGGCTGAGATACATCAGCAGACAGACAGACCTCCCGATCATGCAGATTCATCAGGCAGATACATCAGGCCGATACATCAGGCCGATACATCAGGCGATACATCACGGCCATACATCAGTCAGATACTCAGGGCCGATACACACCGATACATCAGGCGAATACATCAGCAGATCACTTCAGGCAGATACATCAGGCAGATACTCAGGGGCCGATACTTCATGCCCACACCCTCAGGCCGCACACATCAGGCGCCGACACATACAGGCGTCACATCAGCCGACAACATCAGGCATCATACATCAGGCAGATACATCAGGCCGACACATCAGGCCGACACATCAGCCGACACATCAGGCCGACCACATCCCGACCATCAGGCCGACACATTAGGCGAAACAGCAGGCCGACACACAGCCGATACATCAGGCCGATACATCAGGCAGATACATCCAGCCGACACATCAGCCGACACATCAGGCCTCACATCAGCAGATACATCAGGCAGAGGCCGACACCTCAGGCAGACACATCAGGCCGACATCATAGGCGACACAATCAGAGCCGATCTCAGGCCGACACATCTGCCGAACATCAGGCCGACACTTCAGGCGACACATCAGGCAGACACATCAGGCCGACACATCATGGCCGACACATCAGGCAGGCGACACATCAAGGCAGACACTTCAGGCCGACACTCATCAGCCGACACATCAGGCAACACAGGCCGACACATCAGGCCGATACATCAGCCGATACATCAGGCCGATCTATCAGGCTGCTCATGCTCGCACTGGGACAATGAGTCCCCTCCCACAGACCGTCGTGGCGCCTATGGTCAATGCCAAATGTGTTAGTGCTGCTTTCCGGTGCATGACATTATGGTTTGTTCTATATTTTGTTTTTTTTACGCACATCCAATAATGTATTTTTATTATTGAGTTTTTAGATGTCTTGTTAACTCTACATGTTCAGATAACCTTTAGATAGATATATACATTATTGATCCCCAAAGGAAATTAATGCATAGGTCTCTTGCCACACCATTCATACAATCATAGGATAGAGTTAAAAGATACAAAAACAATTAAAAAAGATATAGCTGTGTCGATAAACATACTAAATACTTCTTATCCAAAACGAGAGGGGGACAGACGGAAATGAATGAATGACAAAAATAAAGTATTTGGACCTCCCAAATTATCTTCACTTTCCACTTTCTACCGTCCAATCTAATAAATAAAAAAAATCATCTTCATTTCTTGTTCCTGACGAATACCATTATTAAAAAAAACACCAAAAAGCTGTCATTGTTACAATGATTGACATATCCACAATTCTTCAGCGGTGTGGGTTGTCGGTGGGGGGGTGGGGGGTGGGGGGGGGGGGGAGTGGGGGAGGGGGGGGGGGGGGGGGGGGGGGGGGGGGGTGGGGGGGGGGGGAGAGGGGGTGTGGGGGGGGGGGGGGGGGGGGGGGGGTGGGGGGGGGGGGTGGGGTGGGGGGGGGGGGGGGTGGGGGGGGTGGGGGGGGGGGGGTGGGGGGGGGGGGGGGAGGGGGTGGTGGGGGGGGGGGGGGGGGGGGTGGGAGGGTGATGAGGGGGGTGGGGGGGAGGGTTTGGGGGGGGGGGGGGGGGGGGGGGGGTGGTCGGGGGGGGGGGGTGGGGGAGGGGGTGGGGGGGATCACAAAAACAACACAAAAAGAGGATGATATGAAAAAGAGACGACACACACACACAACTACGGAGGTTAGTGGGGTCGTGACGGGCTTTTTATTGGTTGCGGTGGCGTTTATAGTTCACCGATTTGGTACACAGATTTAATAAGACAGCTGTGCCTAACGATTACGTTTGCTAAGAAAACGTGTTTTTAAAAATGGTAGGAATATGAGACTCGAATAGGCTATACTAACAACAGAGTATGTAGGGCGGGGGCTTATGGCAAAATATAAAAAGTAAGCGCCGTCTTTTTTCACCACATATCCGATTTTAGTCTGTGAATCGTATTAGTTTGGTTCTTTTAATAAACCACGATCTACGGACAAAGAAAGTGACATTGTTCCTTTAGGCAGTTAGTTATTCGATATAACATGGGCAAGAAGTGGAAATGGTGTGTATGCCCGGAATTCAGGACTTGGTAATCAGAGTTGGCTACGGACATTGTTTCTGTGTAATGATTGCTTTATCAGGTGGTTTTTTTCTAATTCTATTACTATGACACGTTGCTCAGGCTAAATAACTTAAATCTCTCAAACAAGGCCCATCGCATACTATTGCAATCCTATGAAAACACAGGCATTATTTTATGGAAATTTCGACTTTTTTAATACTGAGTACTCAAATATTGTAAGCGTGGTAACAGACTGTCTTTTCAAAAGCCTCCTCGGGTTTTCAGGCTTGTTCGTGGCTTAACTGGGCTGTAACTACGCTCGCTTCATAACATCCACTGGTGGCAGCTAATGTCACTCAGTGACTCCCCATTGTGCGAGTTCCTTGACATTCTGATGCTGTAGCTTACGAGCTACTGTACAGCTACTGTAGCAGCTACTGCTAGCATCTACTGTAGCTAACAGCTACGTAGCAGCTACTGTAGGCTAACATACAGCGGGCGAACACGTTGTTTGTATCTGAGCTATGAGTGCAATGTGTGAGACGTGTCTTAAACCACCCATAAGTGTCAGCAGCGGCTCAGTGGGACACGAGTGCTGTGGCGCGCCACGGACACGGGAGTGCGCTTTGGAATAACGAGCTGAGAGAGCGTGAAAGTTGGTGGCGTAACGTACTACGACCGGAGCTGCCGCGTCTGTGTGTGGTGTTTTGGCATTAAATAAAGTCTGATTCTCTGTACGTTGAAGTGTCTATTGCACACTTCACAAAGCACCAACGTTGTGAGCGACATCAGGCCAGAGGAGACTGTTAGCTTAGGTTAAGCGTTCATCATCAATAGACCGCGCGGTTAGCGCGTTAGCGCTGTAGTTCTGCGCTGTGAAATAAAAATCGAATTAACGAAAAAAGAAATCGCCCGAAACGTAAACTTAGCATAATGATTAAAAACGTTAATCGCCCAGCCCTAAGAGAAGTTAAAAGACTATTCTCGATCAGTATGCAACACTTTTCTGAGAAGCAAAGAGCAAAATGTTTTCCCTTCTAAGGTGTTGCTGCTAAGAAGGACAAACGTCTGCTCTGCACAGTCAGAAAGGTTTCGATGGTCCATAGAATGGATAAGTCTAAATGAAATGCTAAGAGCCACTGTCGCACATTTAGTGTTGGGAAAAAATCGATTCTGTTCAGTGTCACCTCAATGAAAAATCCTCACAACCATTTTCTTATGTGTAGCAATTTTGCACAACCCTTCCAATTTTCTACACTTTGGTTGGTGAATATGCAGACCATAGATAGATTGAAGAGCTGTAGCAGTTTTGATGTTCCTCATTTTTTAAATCTTAAGAGGGACATGAATCACATTATATCACAGAATCGAATCCCAATACTTGCTGTATCGCAATATGTCAAGAATCGAAATAAGAAGCCCAGTGTTTGTCTTTACACTATATCACAATACCAGATCGACTCGTCCACCGTTCTGCCAGTTTTCCCAAATTCTATCACAACATCACTTCCATCACAGTGAATGTAGTTAAAGCGTCCAAAATAATCAGGTTGTGTGATTGGGACACAGAGAGTCTTGTGCAGAGGGCGGGTCCCCGGCTCAAAATTTCCAAAATAGGTGCGCTGACATGCGGCAGTACCATCCCCCCGGGCCGGTGGGGTGGACAATAATTGAAAAAAATTGGAAAGTGAAATGACCCAGAATAAGAATTAGCAATGCTAACTATAGCATCTTCTTACCTCTGATGAAAACCGTCATTTACAGGATGAGCCAAAAGTTGGCTCTTGGCCCAAAGCTCCGGTCCACTGTGTGTCAATAGCTGAGTGTTCTGGACCCAGTGCTAGTTAGTCGCTGTGGACTTTTGAAGTCTTCTCATTTTTTGGAGCTCGTGCAGCTGACGCATGCACAGAGCGTTTTTTCACATTATCCAGCCGCCCGCGGCCATTTTGAAACACTCCATGAAAGCCCTATTTTTGGCCCTCTTACGGTAGTTTAGAACGGCGGAGATAGGCCGTTAATATAAACATTCCTATGGTCTGTGTGGCAACCCAAAACCCACAACCCAACTAAAGCCAAAGTCCAGCCCAAACCTGTGCAGATAGTTCACCTACCGAGTGTGCAAGTGTCTGAGTGCCGGTCAGTGTCAGTGAGTGCCGGTTAGTGGTCGTCAGTGTCAGAAAGGGCAGTGAGTGCCAGTCAGTGTCGGTGAGTGTCAGTGAGTGCCGGTCAGTATTCAGTGCAGTGCCCGCGTTAGTGTCGGCAGTGTCAAGTGTCAGAAAGGTCAGTGAGTGCCATGTCAGTGTCGGTGAGGTGTCAGTGAGTGTCGGCCAGTGTCAGTGAGTGCCGTTTAGTGTCGGTCAGTGTCAGAAAGGGTCCAGTGAGTGCCAGTCAGTGGGTCGGTGAGTGTCAGTGAGTGCCAGTCAGTGTCAGTGATTGCCGTTTAGTGGTCCGGTCAGTGTCAGAAAGGGTTCAGGTGAGTGCCAGATCAGTGTCGGTGAGTGTCAGTGAGTGTCGCCAGGTCGGTCAGTGTCGGTCGTGTCAGTGAGTGTCTGTGAGTTGTCAGTGAGTGCCGATCAGTTGGTCAGTGAGTTCAGGTCAGTGTCAGTCAGTGTCGGTGAGTGCCGGTGAGTGTCGGTCAGTGTCAGTCAGTGTCGGTGAGAGTGCCGGTCATGTCGGTCAGTGTCAGATGATGAGTGTCGAGCCAGTGTCGGTCAGTGTCGGTCAGTGTCAGTGAGTGTCTGTGAGTGGCCCAGTGAGTGCCCGATCAGTGATCAGAGTGTCGGTCATGTCAGTGTCAGTGTCCGGAGAGTGCCGGTGAGTTTCGGTCAGTGTCATGCATTGTCGGTGAGTGTCCGGTCCAGTGTCGTTCAGTGTCAGTGAGTGTCGGCCAGTGTCGGTCAGTGTCAGTGAGTGTCTGTGAGTGTCAGTGAGTGCCGAGTCAGTGTCAGTGAGGTGTCGGTCATTTCAGTCCCAGTGTACGGTGAGTGCCGGTGAGTGTCGGTCAGTGTCAGTGAGTGTCCGGTCAGTGTCTGAGTGCCGGGTCAGTGTCGAGTCAGTGTCAGTGAGTGACGGCCAGTGTCGGTCAGTGTCAGTGAGTGTCTGTGAGTGTCAGTGGAGTGCCGATCATGTCAGTGAGTGTCTGCCAGTGTCGGTCAGTGACATGAGTGTCTGTAGTGTCAGTGAGTGCACGATCAGTGTCAGATGAGTGTCCGCTCAGTTCGTCAGTGTAGGTGATGCCGTGAGTGTCGCAGTGTCTGGTATGTCGTGAGTGTCGGACCAGAGCCTGTGAGTGTCGCCAGTGTCAGTCAGTGTCAGTGAGTGTCGTGAGTGTCATGAGTGCCGGGTCAGTGGATCCTGGAAACAGCGCACACATGTGGAAAAGTGCTCACTTTCATGTCTTTTCCGGTCATGGGATCTGGTTCTGAGACCGGAAGCCCAGGTGTCAGAGGCCCGAGTGTCCAGCTGGAGTGGTGCTGGATCCTGATCTCGTAACTAACACCAAGGCAGTGGTACATTTAACTCCTATGTAACAACATCACCGTGGGTGTATTCAATGCCGAGCGTTAATCACTTCCACAAGAGATCTTTTGAGAGTTCCTCGCAACGCAGGAGGGTCTAAGGACGGTGATGATTTTTAACCGTCTTCTACCAACAGCCCACTACACTGGACCAAATGGCTCATACGTGTTTGTTATTATTGTTATACAGTATTTCCTGTGAATTTAATCTAGGGTTAATAGCACTGAGATAGGACATGTGGTACTCGCTTTTGTGGTATAAGCTTAATATATTCAACCACTATAGATGTGTTCCACAAAGGGCCTTGTTCAGTCACTATACACGCTGACAACATGGGATATTCTGACTTAGAATTGTTTTAACTTCAAGTTGTATTAGTTTTGTTTTACACCCCTGCGATTATTTAGAAATAGTCTTTTTCGAACAACTAACGTATTTTCAAAACCATATCAAAAGTATTTAGACTTATTTACGGCGCCACAATTTGTGTGCGCTCAATTTTTCTCTTAGAATCTATACTGTTTTAATTATACCTAGTTTTGATACTTTTTCTGACTACCCTTTTTTAGTTAGTCTGCGAATGTAAACATATTTTTGTTGCGACCTGAAACCAAGTCTCCTAAATTCCAAATAAACTCATATCAGGAGTTTTGAAGTTTTGTCATCAGGAACAAATAAAATACATCCTCAGAACTACTTTTCACCGAATGGCTTCATTTCGACAACACGCTACTCCACACACACTACACAATTGAAGACTCAATGACTCACGAATCCTGGCCTGGGTCTGGTCTGGTATAGTCCTGCTCTGGCGCGCCCTGCTTCCCTCACAGCCTCCCCATACTAAAGCACACACAGCGAGGGGGATTGCGCCAAAAAAATAAAATTGAAAATAAAAAAACCCACGGCTAACTTTCTGCTCCCATGCTAGTTAAATTACAGAGCAGGGTCACAAGCGTGGGACTGGGAACACACCACGCAATCATCCCCTGTCATCCTCCGGTGTATTTGGTCAACATTCAAAACACAACTGCTGTAAATTGGCGTAATTGTCAGGCTGGAACCCATCGTCGCTGGCCCGTGGCGGCCTCCCAGGGACACGGCGGCTACAACCAGAGCGCGTATATAGCAGCGACAGCCCGCCTGATAAAATGGCTCCCTCTTATCTGGCGTGTGCATATGAAAGGCTTATGTCTTCTCCGTGACACATTGTGCGCCTGCGTCACCGTGGGATTCGCACAGATCCAGCAGAACACAGGGGCCCACAGAAAGACAATGTTACATGCACCGCCTCCTCCAGCGCTGTCAGCTGATATTTGTGTGTGTTTTTTTTCTCTGAACATCAGTAAAAGAACGGCACAGAGGAGGCTGGCTGCTCGCTCGCTGTGGGGGATTCGCTTTCAGACGCCGAGAAACACGAGTGAGATGAACGGCTTAATGACCTTATCACATATTGATACTCTGCGATTCGCTTTTTTTTTTCCAGCTCGGATCAAATGTCAGATGTGGAGCAGCTGAAGGTGCTCCGTTCAGTGTGTACCTGTAACGTACAGGAGATAATATGGATGAACTGTGAATGAACTGAGGTGAAACTCTAATGTAGAAAGTGCGAGTCATAAAACTTCTTCTTGGCGTTTCAGTGTGTGTGTGAAGGGTAAGTAAATAAGAGCTTAGGTTACATCCAGTAACTCAATCACATACGTTCAGTAAGAGTATATAAGTTTAGCTAAAAGGTGTGTGTGTATGTAAGTGTATGTATTTATTTATGTATGCGCATGTATGTTTGTGTACGTATACTATATGTGTGAGTATGTACTGTATGTATGTGTGTGTGTGTGTGTGCATATACTGTATCTATGTGCTTGTGTGTTGTGCATGTGTATGTGTTTGTATGTATGTATGTCTAAACGTGTATGTGTATGTATGCATATGTGTGCGTATGTATGTATGTATGTGTGTATGCGTGTGTGTGTGTATGCGTATGTATGCATGTATGTGTGTGTGTGTGTATGCGTGTGTGCGTATGTGCGTGTGCGTCTATGTATGCACGTGTGTAATTGGTGACGGCCTATCTCGTCAAGTGCTTGTTCTAATGAAGAAAACACTGTGAATAATATTTTAACAATAAAAGCACTTTATTTTTCGCAGCCAAAGCCTGATTCGATAATGACAGAGTAAGCGGTGTGTAATTACTGTGATGAGATGGTTTCATTAATCCGACAGCACTCACGCGGCGCCTTGTTTGTTTGTTTTGCTTCTTTTCAACCAAAGTCAACAGCTCCCCAACAGCCACGCCGGTTATCTATACATTTATTTTCAATTTGAGGTGAGCAGCAGTCATGAAATCACAAGCCGGCAGAAGATTATTATAATTACCGAGCAGCTGCGGCACATGCGGCAGCGCGACGGAAAGCACGTTTACTCATGTTACACATAAAAAGTGTCTTCATTTGTATGGTAATGATGTCAAACTAAGAGCAGCTCGGGCGCTAACACGGGCGCTAACACGGCACGACAGCTTTCAGACACGCTAATTACTGGCCCCCGGTTTGTGGTGCGGCATCTTCTCTTGTGCACAGATTTGAAATATTAACAATTACATTTGGAGAACAGACATTTAAGTTAAATTGTGAAGAGAGGGTGTCACTTTTTGAATGCACTTAGACACGCCCCCTGCAGCTTCCTGATTGGTCGAAATGAATTCAAATCCTTGAGGCTGCTTGGAAGTCATTGGTTAAACTTTTCTCCTCCATTAATTCTTTTTGGTTGTAGCTTTGCCAAAGAAGGAACTGTTTTATATTTATTATTGTTGACAATTTCTTACTCTATAAAATCAAAGACTTCCCAATGGTCTTTTTTTTCATTTTTTTTATTAACTACAATTTAAGTTTCTGATCTTAAGATTCTTTAGACAGTTGTGGCTATTTACTAAATATCTTATAATGAGAAAAAACGTCTTGAGGAAGGGATCTCAGAAATGTCTACATCAGCTGTTTTTTTGTTGTTGTTAAGAATGTAAGTTAAATGCAGAAATTCAGAAAAATTTGTCTCAAAAGTTTTGCAAACATGACCGAATATTGCAAGGACTTGTCACAACATACCAGGTTTGAGAAAAGAGTATTCCGACAAACGAGTCGAAGGAAAGCGTTTGGGCAAGAACTTTCTTAGTGTTAGCATGGATGGAGCTAAACACAACTTCAGGGCGCAATTATGGTTAAAAATTCAATCTGTTTAAAGTGTGAGACTGGCCTGTTCGTCTGTTGTTTGCTTCTGTTTTGTGACATTTCGTGTGTAGTTTTTAACGTGTTTTTAATCTCCACACTGCTAAAAATGAATTGCCACTGACATAAACAACATAAACAAGTGTGAATCTGAATCAAAATTTAAAAAGGGTTTGAGACAGTTTGAGTCTTCGGGTTCTCTGGTACGTGACAAAAGGCAGATACACAAAACTTGAGCTGAATTTCTTTACTCTCGTCCTCACGCACGACACACATTCTACTCATGTGTAAAAATCTCTGTCCGACTTTTCCGGTGTGAAATCTGACGAACCTTTAAGAGCAGCGTAAATTGCCATAATAAGAGGCAGGATTGCAGAAACGTAGCTCATGTTGATGTTATGTTTATTAAAAACACGCAGGAGCCCAGGGGATGTGTTGCTCTTTAGGCCTAGAGACAGGCTCCGATGAAAACGTGCTTTTCCCAGAGCAGCGGTAGGAGTGTGTAGTGTAAGTGTAATGCTAGCATGGTGCGTTCCCTGGGGTTTGTGTTGCCATTTGCACTGCTAGCGCTGCAATCCCCCTGACAGGGCTGTTTATAAGCCCCGCACTATCACAGGCTGAGCAGGAGGACGAGCCTTCATTAGAGATTAGAGTGACCGCCACAGAGTCCAGCAGCAGCAACACAACTACAACACAACCACAACACGCACACGTCACACACAAACGTTACCACAACACGCACACACAAACGTCACCACAACACGCACACACAAACGTTACCACAACACGCACACACAAACGTCACCACAACACGCACACACAAACGTTACCACAAAACGCACACACAAACGTTACCACAACACGCACACGTCACACACAAACGTTACCACAACATGCACACACAAACGTTACCACAACACGCACACGTCACACACAAACGTTACCACAACACGCACACGTCACACACTTCCTCTGCTTAACGCGCTGTGAAAACATTAGTGAACGACACCCAAGACATGTTTTAAATTGGCTTCAGTTGATCTCCTCGGAAAGAAAAACAAGTGCACTTTGTAGGAGTCGAACAAGCCTGAAGACAGAAGCATCCGGAAGGAGAGCAGCCGCGGGTTCTGAGCCCGTTCAAAGCTCGCGGGGTTATGACCTTGTTGATGCATTTTTAATTTTTATACACGATTTAATACAATGCGGAGGCCGCTCTGGAAACACAGGGGACATGTTTGTTTTCAGCTCAACTCAATGCCTTTCATTCCGTCTTGTTGCTGCTTCACAATTTTTTTTTTTTTTTTTTTAACTAATCACTTTCACTTTTGCATGTCTATCTCCACCTTTTGTATGTCTATTTTCACGTAAAAAAAAATAAAAAATAAAAATAAAAATCTCGGAGGACTCCACAAAACACAGCCGTTTAAGGGGATTTTTTTTTAAAAGCTTTTTTATATATGTATTTTTTTATATTTCTGTTATGTCTGTATTTATGTTCACTTTTTGATTAAAAATGTAAATTAAAGTTGTTATTTTACAGTATAGATAAAGATGAAGAGATCCTATATTCGTCCCACAGTGGGGAAATTTCAGTGTTGCATCGCCAGGTACAGTAGGAATGAGGAGCACACAGCACAAGATAAAAGAACAAAATCTTTAGCGTTAGCATAATAAAGACGCAATAATATCATTGAATTTGGTTAAATTGAATACATTACACATTGTAATTTGAAAAAGCCAAATTGTGGTTATGATTCTTGACAGTATGGAGTCGC